TTTTTTTTATTTTTTGTTTTTTTTAGAAAAATTTTTTTAAAACTAAAATAAGCTTTTTAGAAATGTTATTTTAATGGTTTTCTAACTGTTTTCTTTATTTTTTATTTATTTCTTTAGAAATAAATTAAACCTTTCAAAAGTAATATTTTGGTGATTTTCTAATTGTTTTCTTTATTTTTATTTATTTCTTTGGAAATACATTAAGATAAACCTTTTGAAGTTGATATTCTAGTAGTTTTTTAACAATTTTCTTTATTTTTTTTTATCTTTAAAAAATCAAATATATCTTTTTTAGAATAAAATATAATACAATATATATTCTTTTTGAATAATTTATTATATAATAATAAATAAAATTATAAATAATAAATAAACAAAAAATGAATTTTATTAGTTTCAATTTTATAAATAGTTTCTTAATTAATTTTTAACTATTTTTAAGCTGATTGTTGATTGATTTTAACGTTAGTGCTAATTGATAGCCAATTTCTATTTATTAAAAATACTATTTTTTTGGTAATAATCAGTAGAATTAGACTATATTTTGGCTAACTTTAAGTATTAAATGTGACGAATTATATTATTTTGCCTAGTAATATATCAAATAGTAACCAATCATTAAACAATGATTTTTTATTAAGTAACAGTTATATTAGATAACTTCAGCTATAACCAAAATGCCTATGCAATGATTGGCAGAAATTAGATTATATTTTGACTAATATTTGACACTTTAAAAAAGTGACAAAATAGATTATTTTGACTAATGCTTGTAATATAAATGAAAGGAAAGATTGTATAGTTAATATTTATATCTATACAAAATTTAAGATTGCTAAAAAGTTATTAAATCCAAAATAAAATCATCAAAACTTAACCCAACTTCATTATATAATTATAATAATAATAAAATATTAACGATAACTTTTATTCAATTTCAACAATTTCAAAACAAGTTAAAAACTTTAATAAAAATATCTAGAAGAATTGTTAAAAATGAAAACGAATTATTAGATTTTCTAACTTTAGTATTTTGCAATAAATTAAAGTTTTGTCTCACTTTATTTGTCTTGAAAGTGTCAAGATTTCTTTAGAAATAAGCGTAAGATGTTAAAGGAAAAAGTTTTATGTAAAATATTAATATAAAAGTGTATTAAAATATATAAATTTAAAAAAATAAAATAAAATTATAATTTTAAAGTTTAACCAAGCGAAAAATACATTTATTTCCCTATTATATTAACTTATGTATTTATGACATACATGTTACATTAGAAGCAAATCAAGTAGGATAATTATGCTGGCGTTACTATGAAAAAAAATTATATTACAGGAGAATGAATTGTGAAATAAAAATAAGATTGGTGAAAAGAAGGCGAGAGGTTTTATATAAATGAAGTTGTAAAGTAACTTATCATTCTTCGTAGAAGAGGTCTCAAGATACAGGGTTATCACTATCACTTCCAGAAGTCATGTAAATTATACTATTTAATATAAGAATTTTAAAAGAAATAAATCGTGAAGATAAAATTTATCACTTATAAAGTGATTTTTTCAAGTTCACCTAAAATCTCTCCCGCCTTTTTTCTAATCTTATCAAAATCCAGTTCATAATTATCATCTGGGGTTATTTCATCCCTCCATTCAAATGACAACGGAATATAACTTTCAGCTAAAACAAAGAACTCACCAAGTTTATTATACACTTCATTACCATAATGGTTTTTGTCATTTTTAAATATACTTAAAAATAGGTGAATTAAGTCATCTCTTTCGCCTTCAGAATTTGCAATTTGTTCAAGGATATCTTCAAATACCATAAGTACGATTGCATTTAATTTATATGGTGGTCGTGTTACATTGTCATATTGATCGCTGCTTAATTTCCATCCAGACCATAAGAAATAATCCTTCTCTCCACCACGGTAAACTATGAGACATTGGTATGATTCGGGGTCAGCTACGAGATATGCATTTTGGGCCCTATAAGTTCCAATGTAAACATTGACATTGTTTGTATTTCTGTCAACAAACTCTTGAAGGGTCTCCAGGAGTCTTTCTCTATTCTGCATATTCCAGTTGTCGTCTGCGTTAAATCCCCAATCGAGTTTGTGGTTGGAAAATAAATGTTGTAATCCTTTGTCAATATAGTGTACACGAGTCTTATTAAAATTTGCGAAATCAGGATTAAGTACATTAGCGTATGCATAAGTCTTAAACACTCCGCGAGACTCATATGTATTAAGTCTTATTTGATTTTGTCCAGAAACTGTTCCAATCCAATGTCTACCAGTGTAAACATGTCGTCCATCAGGTAGAGTTGTGCGATTACCATGATTTCCAATGTAGAACCAATGGCCATTGAGCCAATTCCTATTTTCCGTGTTTTTATCTTTGAAGAGCCCAATCCAGTCCCAGGTGGATGGTGTGATAATAGACCATTCGATCACTAGTGTTCCCGATTTAATGACACACCTCAAGTAGCATACCTCTCTTTGTTGACTTTCACTCATATTCTTTGAAATAAAGGTTAAATTTTATTTGAAAATTTTTTTGAACCAAAAAAACAAAAAAAATAAAGTAATTACTATAGAAATTCGTCTCAGATTTATATTATGAGTGTCGTTGGATGCATTGGATGACTGGATTGATAGACCAATTATGGAGCCAGTGGCTTAGCGGCAGGAATTAAACCTAGCAGAACGAAAAAGATATGACAATCATAAATATTATAAAATATCACTTCATGTGATTATAAAACTTGTCCTAAAATTTTGAACAATTGAATGTTATCAATTTATCAAGAACCCTCGTGACAATGAAATATTTATCTCTATTTTTTCAAAATAATGCAATTTCTAAAAAGAAATGATCACCAAAATTCGAACTCCTTGAATTTTATGTACCAACTAGAAATTGCGAATAGTAGGGGGATTTCCCAACTTTATTGATATACTTTACATCCCAATTAAGCGAAAAATTAGTAATAATCACCAATTTTCACTCAATCACATTAAATTATGGTCATGTGAGGCGCAGTTATTACAAATCGGATGACTGGTTAATTTTATTTTATCCCTAACTTTGTCTAGAGCGTTAATTGAAAAAAAATTATTTGAATATTACAATTAATAATAAGGCTAGTGGCAAAAATTATTTGTCAAAAATGGATTAGTGATTTACAAATCTTACATTTGATTTTTAAAATGAGAAAATCATACGTGACCATTTTTTTTTTTAATTTTCGTCCGTCAAATGTGCGAACAAATTGAGTAATAGAGTTCCATAAATTAAGTAATAGGATTAAATTAAATTTCAATAAAACACATATAAATGAACTACATTCGTTCTATTAGAAACCAAATCTAAACATTATAGGTTGAAAATTTCTTTATTAACGTCGTTCAATACTCTTCAATTAATGAACTTTTCAAGTTCATCCTTTTATTCTTAACTCTTTACATCTCTCATTTCTATTTTCGTTATTTACACGAAAAAATAAGGTACTCTTCTTTGGTACTATACCTAACTCTTATTGCGTAGGTCAATATGTAATAGTTACTCGGCACGTAGTGCTGAGTAACTGTTTTATCGGGCATATCATATCGTAACGTAATAAATGTTTAGTAACGAGTTATACTGACATAAATCTTAAATAGTGAATGCCCGATAAAGATTTTTAAACAATGTTATGAAAAATCTGAATAATCATCGTGAAATTTATTTATGTAAACCGGAGACTATTCTCTACCTCAACAAAAAGTAGTTTTTTATTACGAAGTTCAAATAATGAATAAATGAATGAATTGGTTTGGGGTTTGGTAAAGTGATATAGTTATGAATAGTGATATAAGTAGAAGAAATAGAATATTTTCCATACTCCTTGCTTATGAATGCAAGATTTTTAAAATATCAAGTGCTTGTGGCAATAGAATTGTTTTACGGAAAGGGAATATTATGAATTTGGTTATTACTTCATTATTGGGTAGTCGTTATAACAATTTTCCCAAAAGTAACGATACGACTAATTAAAGTGAATATGAAAGCAATATCATTCGTTAAACATCACCTTGGTTATGTCACACATTTCTTATTTATTACAATAATTAATATTGAATGAAAAACAATAGTATAAAGATTTATATTAAATTACGTCACGAAGAAATTCTGTCATAAATAAAGAAAAAAATGGAAACCCATTTAAGAGAATAGGCGAGATATAATCTTTTATTTCTTTTGGAGTATTCGAATATTGAAAATTAAGTTGACCTTGTCAAAAATATGAAGCAACGACATTCTGGGGAAATTATTGAAGATGTATTAGTTGAAGTCTTTATTGGTAGAACTGAAATGATGCAAAATTATGAGCAAGCATTTAATTAAAAAGAAAAAATGTATAATTATATGTATGTTGACTGACTTTTTTTTTGTAGACATCAAGTTCAATAGGTTTCATCATTATATTACTTATGTAAATATTCCCAAGTTAAAAAATAACTATTTGATCGACGTGATTCTCTCATCAAACACCTTTCGTAAAATCATTTTTGAAGATATTGAAAATTCGAATACGCTGAGGTCATAATTAAAGAAGTGGCTAGGTTAACGCTAGTTGTCCTTTTAATTGCCTGTAGTAATCTATTAGAAGATGAAATCGACGAATGTACATTTGGAGCAGGTACAAACTTATAAGAATCCTATGTAGTTTAAGAGATAAAAGTTAGTCAATTAGTTTTGTTTGAAGTTATCGTTAAAGAAACAAACATTGTGGATGGTAAAATTTATAAAAAAAGGTATTATCAAAATTATGATTATTTTGAGATAAGAGTGGTAATGTTACATTAGATTTTTTTTCATTACAGAAATCTTGAGTTGGCTGAACTAAAACTTTAACAGAAATAATATTATTGAGTGAGTTAGATTGTTTGAGCGCATGCTACATTCTATGATAGTTTAAAATACATAGTTGAGTTTAGTGATATTTAATTTAAGGTTAGATCTTAGAATATGATTTTCCTAGAAGAACAAATAATTTCATTATCCTCTATAATAATTCCTGCTTGATATAATTCTTCATCTTTGTAATCATTATCATTCTTTATTGCAGGTGAATGATTAAAAATATCTGCTGCAGATTTAGTGAGAACTGAAATGCTTAAAGTAGATTCTACTGCTAAAACATGTTTGATTATAAAGGAGAGATCATTATGAATAGTTATAAGTTGTATTTTTTTGTTATTGTGATTAAGTGTTTAATTTGAGTTTAAGCTAAAATACTTTGTAGTTGCTGAATTGAGCCAGCTTAAATTATTGATATAAGTTCTATTTCTGTTGATCATTTAGAACTTTATGATTATAGTGATAATTATTGATCTATACTCTTAAAAATAGTTATGAAAATATTATCTATGATTCTAGTAAAAATAAGATTTTATAATCTTTAGTATTAGTACTAGTAGTAATCTATATCAAAAAAGTATTTAAAGCAAAATGTTTTATAAATAATATTCTTTCATATATTTTAGAGCTCTGAATCAGGTCAGATTAACCTGTAACCCATTCTGACCTGATCTAAAAAAATCTAGGTCAGTAGACAAATTTTAGGTCAATATCAGATCAGGTCAAGCCTATGATCCAACCTAATAAAATTTAGGTTAACCAATCAAATTAAATAAAATAAAATATTTAAAAAAAATTTTTTATTTTTTTTTTTAAAACATCTTTAATTTTAGGGATCAGTGTTTCTGGCTCAATAGTTAAATTGCAAGTCTTCTATTAAACTAAAGTTTTATTACATAGCAATAGGCTATCAGTTCAAGTATCAGCTGATACATAAAACTAGATTATTTTCATAAGAATTTCATATGTAGCTGAAATGATAGACATATGTACTAATATTATTGATACCTGACTAAATTTTTTTTTGAGAAATTTTTTATATGAATAAATATAAAATTATTATATTTTTTAATGTATTTTAATTCAAGGAATTTAGATCAAGTTAAATATAATTTCAGCAATTAAGTAAAATAATTTCATTATTAATAAAAAACTAGTTTCGTCATTTCGGTTTTGTCAATTTCGTCATATTAAGAAAGGTAATCTCGTCAAATATCACTAGGTTAGAGATTAGGTTTGATTCTTGAGTTATTTGACATTCTGGTATAAAGTCATCTGATTAATATAGTCTATATGCATAACTGAAAATCACTGTTTGAACAAATCTTGTAGTACTATTTCATGAATCCTACAGCTCTTTATATAGTTATATTCAAGTTAAACTAAGTAATTAGATCCTAGATATGATTCACTAGATCATTAGTAAGAATAGTGATGACGTTCACTATAGCTGAGATGATCTCTTTATCCAAATTTGATAGTATCTTTGATGCTAAGTATCTAATTTGGATTACAATAAGCAGTTTGAGTTACCAGTTAGAATATCATACTATAAATGAATACATTGAGGGGATGCATTCAACATGGTGGATAACTTGAAATATAAGAAAATACCTGAGACTGTTAAGGCCATTACGCCACTATTAATAGTAGCTAGATGCTTCAGTATCTAATGTTAAGTAAAAAGATTGATGGTCAAAGTTGTAACATCTTAAAAAAATATCTTTAATCTTATTTAATATACTTTCTTTTTATATTCTAATAAAGTTATTTGTGTAATTACTTTATAATTTATTATAATCAAAAAGTTAAATTTTAAATTATAAATATTTTTTAGCAATTATATTATTTAACAAATTAATTTTAATTTTAATTTTATCTATTCAATTACATCAAATAAATATTTAAGCACTTTGGTCAAAAGAAATTGACTTTATCATATAAGTAAAGTTTCTCAGCGAGTTTGAAAATATGGGCATATAAAATTTTATTATGATTGGATTAATAATTATAAAGTTATGAATATTTTTCGTGATTGTATTATCTCATGAAATATTTTTATTTTTTTTATTTATTTAGTGACTTCAAGAGTAATTTAAGTATTTTTGTCAAAGAAAATCAACTTTAATTATATAAGTAAAGTTGTTTAGCAGATTCGAAAAATGTGTATATAAAATTTTATTATAATTGGAAT